TAGCTGTTCAAGGATACTGTGCATGCAAAGCTTGAGTTCTCAGCAGCTTTAAGTTGACTGAAAGCTCAAACTGAAAGCTCTTTTGCTTCCCACTTTCTCCAGTGATTTTGAATCTGCTCTTGTGAGCTTGTGAGTTTGAAAGCAAAAAGCTTTCTGGAAAAATGAGCTCATCATTTCTAATGAAAACTACAAATATAATCTTAGCATACCTGCCTGTTACATAGGTACTTTCTGTCAGAAACTACTTTTTTCTGCTTATGAAAGATACATGCATTTCAGTTTCTTTTCTTTTTTTTTCTTTTTTTATTACATCACTAACAGGGGGTTTCTTATGTCTGAACAAACCTGATGGGTGAAATCTGCGTATATGAGTCAAGATTTACTGGACCAATTCTCATTTTGTGGGGCTTTTACATGTAAAATTTTGATATGCCCAACTGGGATGACTTCTCAGTGCATTCTCATGCTTTTCTGTGATTGTCTTCTCTTATAAAAGAAAATATTAGAAGAGATGGTTTACTGAAAGCCTTTTCAGACAGATTTCAGACAAAGCACCTTCTGATAACTGATACTTTTCTCACTATAACTTAGGCTGGATCCATAATCCACAATTCCAAAGGCTGGTTAAGCATTGAGGTCAATTCTTGTGTGAGCCATTTCATAGACTGAAGAGAGTAAAGTTTGGAGCATATATGCTAAAGATTTTCGGTATATAAGACTTCATTTAAGACTGGTCTTTTTTAAAAATTTTAATTGTATACAGTCAGAAAAAGTATTTTTTTTCCGAAAAACAAAAGAAAAATAGTACAGATGGAAAAGTGGAGGAGAAGGAGCAAAGTAATGTGACTGTGACACAAGAGGTTTTTTTATTTTGTCCTCTTTCCAAATAATGTTTGGATTACTCAATGTGGCGGAAGGACCGAGACTGGAAGATGAAATAACCATGAGGGCGCTCATGATACGCGATCCATTATATGAAACCACTGAAGTGATGAACGTTAGTGTTCTTTTAAAAATTTTATTTTTTAAGTCTTTCTGTCTTTAAAAAGAAAGCAGGGGGAAGGGAAGAATTCTTCGCAGAACAATGGTGCAGTCTGTTATCTGCTCCTTTGCACTGTAAAGCACTGAATGTTCAGCCAATATACTGCTCTGGTTGGCTTAGCATTCTTAACCTTAATTTTGAATAGAAGGTGCCTTGTGCTGCTGACGTAATTAGGGCCTTTTGTAAATCACTGTTGCAGGCAGTCTGCCGTTGCATTTCACTGCATTTTTTTTTTTCTGAGGGATGCAGGGGAAAAGTATCAAGCTAACTTTATAAGCCCCTCTTCAGGTCCAGGGTTTTCCTTATTGGAGCACTTTGTTCAGAATGTGGTTGGCTTCGTTTTCCTCTATAGAAACGAAGCCTTGTATCAGTTTTGCTTGTGGAACAGTCTTCCTGGTGAAGAAGTTTGAATAAGAAGCCCTTAAGAGCTTGAGAAAGTAGACTCTTCCAAGAAAAGAAAAGAAAAAAGGAAATCTGAGATGGGTGGATTTAACAAACTCACTTTCAGCCAAGTCCCCTCATTGATACTGCAACCTGCCTCTTTTGTCACTTAAACACTCAGAAATTTTTTAAAAGTTTGAGCAAGTTTGAGCTGCAGCTTTGTTGTAGAGCTGGTTTCTTAAATGTGGTTTTGCATCGCACACGGCAGTGTTCTGAGGAAGACCTGCGGAAAATCCTCTTACCTTTTGCATAAACCTCTTATGGACCATGCAGTATCTCCTCCGTGGAGACTTGGGGCTTCCTCTCACTTCTGTCCCTCCCTTGTCCTCTGTTGCAGGGTTCACCTCAGGCCATTACATCCCCTACTGATGTATTCTTTTAGATCCGTGATGTCAGTGGTGATACATAGCCTTGTGCTGCCCTTGATAGCAAACACGGCACTATTAATAGTCCGAGAAGTTAACCTGTTCGGTTCTGCATCCCCTCCCTCCACCCGCTGAATTATAGACCACTAGCTCCAAAGAAAACAGAAAGAAAGAAAGAAAGAAAGAAAGAAAGAAAGAAAGAAAGAAAGAAAGAAAGAAAGAAAGAAAGAGAAAGAAAGATCATTGGCCCTCCGTAAGGATGAATGTAATGGTGTTTTTAATGCAACTCTAACAGCAACTTCCATGTGGGAGCATTGGGGTGTTGCCTCTAATGCAGGACCACTGGGGAGAAGGAGTGCGGACTTACAGCAGAGCTGTACACAGAATAACACCAGTTTTGCATCCTGAGGTGGCTTTCAAGCGTTGTTGTACTTGAAGGTAGCTGCCCATCAACAAAACCTCAGGGCCAAGAGGGAGCGAAGCGGCCACTTGCACACAGAGCACTTCATTTCACACCTGGGGAGCAGAGCAAGGAGATGTGAACGACAGTTGCCGCTTTCTTCTGTCGAACTTTGTTACATCAGGAAAACGCAGCTTCAGCCTTTGGGCTTTCCCTTTTCCACCTGCAAAAAGGCAGTCTCCTTTGAAGAGCTTTTCCTCTCTGCAGGGACAGCGACAGGGATCGGGTGCAACCTGTCCTGTACCACTGCCTGATTCCCTGTGAAACACCAGCCATGGGAAAGCACTTCCCTGTGCCACCGGCCCTGCAAAGATGGCAATGCCCCTGCTGCAGACCCGGAATGGCAGGGCTGCTCTCCCCGCGCGCCGGTGAGCGAGTGAGGTCACCAGGTTGGTTCTTGAGGCAGGAAATCCACCTGAAAGAAAGAGCTTTGTGCCGGTGCACAAAGTGGGGTCACGTGCGCCAAAGCAAGCTGAAAACGGAGATGAATTCTTGCACTGCTGACTTCTCCTCAAGTTTAAGCATAATGTGACAAAAAGTCATAAAAATAAATGAAATTGAGCTTTCTGACTTGTCAGATACTGGGGTTTAAGTTTGCTCACACATATGGAGAGGGAAGAGGAGGGCTGTGCCTTGAGGAAAGCTGTGTAAATTGATGTCGTTTCTGGCCAGTGACATTTTGGTCAGTTCCCTCCTCACCCGCTGTTCAAGAAGCAACCCCCCCGGCCCAGCACAGCCCCATTCCCACGTGTGAGGGTGGCCGTGGCTCAGCTAAGTGCAGCTGTAACGCTGTGGCGCCTCACAGCAGCCGGGATTCCCCGCTCCGCTCCTCCCCAGCCCGCTTCTCCAGGGAAGAACTGCCTCTTCCGTGCGCTCAGACCCAGCGGTTCCCTCACCGCGGCAGCTCAGCGCGGCCGCCCGAGTCACTCCAGCGAGCTGGGGCTGTAACTCCTCCCTCGCAGGGCTCCACTTTGTGCCGGGCCGTGCGGAGGGAGAGGGTGGCGTGGCCATGGAGCCCCTGGCCCCTCGTCCTCCCCACTGCGCCGTGCCAGGTCTAACCTGTGGCACGGAGACGAGCCGCCGCGTTCGCGCTCGTAGGGCCGCGGCGCAGCGAGGGGGCTCGGGGCCGGATGGCGGCGCGGGGGGCAGCGGCGGAAGGCAGGCGGGCGGGCGGGCGAGCAGAAGTTGCAGCGTGCAAGTTGCGCGGGGATGACATCAGCCGTGGCGAGGCCGGCCTCCCGGAGGCTTGGCGAGGGGCGCAGGTCCCGCGCGGGCAGCGGGCCGGCTCCCGCCGGCTCTGCCCTCCTTTGAACTTCCCGCCTCTCCGAGGGGCTTTTAAACAGCCGTGGGTGGTCGTTAAACAAATTTCCTTTGTAATTTTTTTCTTCTTTTTTTTTTTTTTTTGTTGGGGGGGCGGGAATAATTTGGAAGTCTGATAGTGTGTGGGAAATGATTACATCAGTCAGAGGGAGGGCTAGGATTGGTCTACACAGTGTGGTTTGATTCACTACCGCAAAGATTGCGTGTAACCCTTTGAGTGGAGCTCTGGCAGAGTTGTTTCCCTCCCCAGAAACCGTCCCCAGAACAGGGGCTACGTGACAGGTACAGTACAGTGATCCCCTGACACTGCAAAGTGCCCCCGAGCGCGCAGCCGTAGTCCGCAAGGGGCTGGAGGAGGCAGAGAACAAACTCTCTTTCAAGAGGCATCTGTATTTAAAATGCCATCTTGTTCTTCTGACTGCTGCCTTTTACGTGCTGTTGAGGTAAGATTTTCCATATCCAGTTATCCTCCAGTTTTTTTTTTTTTTTTTTTTTTTTTTTTTGTTAGATTTGTCTTTTCTAGCTAGGATGCAGAAATGTTTTAAACATGGAGTTAATCTAAATCCTGAGCCTGCATGTTTGACTGCACAGAGGGGAAAAAGATTTGCAGTAAGTGTGTCTCGCCTGAGCAGAACAATGCAAAGAGGAAAGCATCTGTACAAACCAGGAGGTGGGGAGAGGCTTCCTCACTTGCTCTTTCATCTCCATTAACACTTAGGAGGTGCACTGGGTGCACGTTTGGGTTGCAACTCCTTTAAAGCGAAGATCAAAAGAGGAGCCAGGAAAGGGAGAGAAATGCCTGGACTGCGCTGGCTAATTGATCTGCGAGCGAACTGCAAGTGCAACTTCCAAAAGCGAAACGCTCAAAAGTTCTTAGGGAACCAGAGAGACATTTTCTTATTTTATTTTATTATTATTATTTTTTTTTAATTTCCAGGGGGAGTCGGCCTGCAAACATTGGGAGGCCTTAAACTGTGTTAAAAGGAAAATTTCATTTATTGTTTGACTGGGTTTAACTCCTTTTACCTGCTATTGCAGAAGTACTCTCTCATTGTTTCCTGCTTGCCTACCTTATACAGCCTTACGAAGAAGGTGTGCTCTCCCACTTTCTCTGTGTATGTGCTCACATTAACGCTGCTTAATCTTTGTTTAGTGCAGGGAGGTGTTGGGGCAGGGGGAGGGGAAGCAGGCGAGGGGCATGACGAGAAAGTGCTGTAAAGTCAATCATCATACATGTTATTTGTGCTGGCTGCCGAGATGCAATCCTAACGCGGAGAGGACGCTGTATTTTTCTCCCCCGCTGCGGTAGCTGTGCGTGCGGTTTACACCTTTTCGGAGCTGTTGATCTGTAAGTGTATCCTTTATGTTGCAGGATGTAAAAGTCTTTAGTGAAGATGGAACAAGCAAAGTGGTGGAGATTCTAGCAGACATGACAGCCAGGGACCTCTGCCAGCTGCTGGTTTACAAAAGTCATTGTGTGGATGATAACAGCTGGACTCTAGTGGAGCATCACCCTCACCTAGGATTAGGTAGGGAACGGTCAAAGGGGTGGCGTGGTTACCTGGGAACATAACATGTGTATGCTTCATATTAATGTGCTTCCAGCGGGAACGTCTTCTGGTCACTGCCTTTCTCTGTAAAATTAGCTGAAGTCACATACATGCTTTTTTATGTGTTACAATTTGACGTGCTAAGCCTTTAAGCCTTTTTAAGTCGTTTTCTTGCTTCCCATTTTCTATTTTTACTTTGTACATATCTATAGATTTATATAAATATGTATATGTGTGTATGTATATATACACACACACACACATATATATATATAATTTTTTTTTGTCTAATCATGCCAGTGCTCTGTTACATCCCTGCAGTTTGAAGCTATTGCAAACCAACAGCTTAGGCAAATTAAGCTTGATCCCTAAGAGTCCAGGTCCTGTGACACAGCCCAGCTCGTCCCCAGCTGGGAGGCCGGGGTGAAACGCCCCAGCTCTGCAGACCGACCCACGGGGACGCCTTGGGACCCGTGACCGCCAGGCCCACGGAGCCGGGGGGCGCCCGAACATGGCATCCCGAGGGGCGACTTGGGGGCACCTCCCGCGATCCGCCGGCAGTTTCTGGCCCCACGGTGGCATCTGCTCCCCAGGCAGCAGCTCCTCTACCTGATTGAAATTAAGGCGTCATGGTTACAGTTTCAAGAAGAGGAATTAAATAACACCGTGAATTGGTTTAATTGCAGTACCTGAAAGAATCTCATGTTCTTCAGTCTCGCTTTTGCTGTTATTTTGGGGAGCTGATTAGTTGTAGGGTTCTGACACGCAGCTTGCAGTTGCTTTTTGCCGAGATAGATACCCTATGTGTAATTCTGAGTGGCGCAGAATAATTGCTTGAAAAAGTGTAGCCTTGGGACTATTCCTATTAGGGTATACTTCATGCTGAAATCTTGCTTAAAAAACAGAGGAAGGCAAATTGTAAAGCTGTGAGCACTGGACCTGCTAAAGATACCTGCAGCTAATACAGGCTTTTGTGCCTAAAGCTGTAACTCAGAACCCCAATCTTACCAAATGAAGTTAAGGCAACGCAGTGCCTTAAACTGGTGCTATTAAACGCATGAATTCGCTACTCCACAGAGGAGCAATCAAGGAAGAAAAATCCAAGAAGCCTGGGCTGTCCTGGTTGCCTGGCCTTTCCAACTGGGCATCCCTCTCCGCGTACGAGCCTGCGTCAGGAACAGCCGCGCGGCAGCTCCTCGCGCGAGGACGGCGGACCAGGCGGACAAGGTGACGGGTGGAGGCCGCCGGAAGCCCCACTTCCGCGCCCTCCGGTGCCACATCCCGCTTCCAGCAGCCCCAGGAACGGGCTGGTTTTCTGGAGGCTCATTAAAGGCCCAGGCGCCCTCTTTCTGTATCGCCCCGGTTCCCATCGGTGCTGATTACCAAGGTATTGTGTAAACAGAAGCCTTGGCCTTTGTCAGCAACATCCTTCTCCTGCCAGCTTCATTCAGTGATGCCACAATTCAGCGCGGGTGACATCACAATAGCTGCCATGGTGACTAATTGTGCTGTCAAACTCCGCTGGGTGACATCGCTGAATGAATCGGGCAGGAGGCTGATTAGGAAAGCAAAAGCTTCTGTTTACACACAAATAACGGCGTAATTAACAATGATGGGAAAAGAGCAAGATACTTATCGGGCTGCATTTATATCCATTGGAACCGGCTCCCAACTCCGTTTTGTGGGGAAGCGCAAAGCCCGGCCCAAGCGGAGAGATACAGCGCGCAGCTTTACTGCTTTGGCCATCTTGAAACTTTTGCCATGCTTATCCCTTTTGGAGTGTAAAAGTAAAGTATTCAAATGCTTAAAATCCCAGAGAAGATGCCACGTTACAGACTTTATGCATAAAGTATTTGAGAGGATGTGGACACTGAAGCACTTGAAAGGACGAGGACAGAACATGGAATAGAAGGGTTCACTTCATTGAGGAAAAGATAACATCCGATTTCCTGTGTTTTGGGACCAAAGTATACACAGTATCCAAACTTATATTCAATAAATTTCAAATACCACCTTTTATCCATCCACCCAGATTTGGCTGCTCTTGGAATTTGTTGCTTATGTGGCCACATACTTCTGCTTCCCAGGAACTTAAATGATTCCATGCTTCCCTGGAATCATTTAGTAATCCCTGTGTATTTCGACTGCTGTCAGATCATGGCAGTAGTCTGTAAAAAGGAAACTTGGCTGACATTCCTCCTAGGTGTCTGTTGTTCCATATCTTTCCCTCTGCAAATAAGATGATTGCTTATAGCACATCCGATGATACAGTAAAAGTGCGAAACAATAACAGGAAGGTATTTTATCATGGTAATAAGCAAAATGTTTTCAGAGCAGTAAGAACTATGTGTTTCTAGAGGACATTATTTCTTACTAAAGACATTCTGGATGACTTTTTGCTGCAGGTGGTAATCTTGAAGCTACCAAAAGACACTGATTCCAAAAAGTCTGCTCTCTTTTTTTCTGGCATTGCTAATCCTACTCTTATTTTCCAAAGGAGCCCAGTTTGCAGAACCAGTTCCTATGTTTTTTCTTTTGGGCAAGCTGAGAGCAAGAATAAATTTCTAAAGCAAACTGCATATATATCAATGTGCTGATCCAGGTCCCCCTGCTAAAGGGACCTTCCTCTGACTGGTTACATTGCATGGTCAATTGTATTCCAGCTAGCACTCACACTTACAAATAACTTCAGAATGCCAGCAGACTGCACATATTATTTGTGTTCTCATTGGTAGCAATGCTGTGACGAGTCATTATCAGTCTGGCTTAGATTTGACATCTGTAGATAATTCATGCTGCGCTTAACCACTAAGAATCTAAAATAGTTTGTGGTCAAGATTTAAGCAGTCTGTGAAACTTTAATTCATCACATTCCCTTGTAACTAGAAATATACTTTACATCTCCTTAAAATGTAAAGTTGTCCCTATATGCTACTCCGTTCTTAATTGTCATTAATTTAGGAAGAGGACTGAGATGCTTATATTGGACATAATGTAATAATGAAGACAGGCTTTTCACAATAGCATGTTTCTTGATATGGCAAAAGTCCTAACCTGCCAACCTCTTTTTCCTCTTGCTCATGAACTGATGTACATCTTATTTAGCATAGCCATAGTAGAAAGGAAAAGCCAAAGAGCTTTCAACTGTATGTAGGGCTAGAAAAAACAATCACCATATAGCTTTATTCACAGATCTTCTTGTTTATGTGTGTACTGAATTTGCTTTGCCTTCAGAAAGAATTAGAAGTGCAACAGTTTCTTAATAGACACAACATTTCCTAAAATGTTAAACAAGGCAGACTTTCACCCCTCAGTTCACATGTCATTTTAGTGATTCACTAACTGGAAATTTTTGGGATATGTCTGTAAGTTGTTCAATGTAGAATCCATCTCGCTTTCCCATCTTTTGTAAGTGGGGCACTTCTGTATAAGTTCAGAGTGTAATGCAAAGCAGTATCAGGGGGATAAAAAAAAAAAAAAAGAGGAGGAGACATTTCTGGTCACTTTAACTGCAATAACACTTGGAGACAGACTGACCTGTTGAATTTCTGTGACTGACATCTGTGCTTCTAGTTTTGTAGCAGAAAGTTCAGTGCAGGGCTGCAGTTGAGCTGCTGCTGTGTCAAGGGGCATTTTGTTGCATTTGCTCTAACCAAGTGCCGCTTGCCAGGGGCTGACCAAGCGTGCAACTTCTGTGAAATGGTTGCAAATGGACTGGGACTACCTTGCTTTCTACATGCCCATCCCATAAATTCCTGTCCCTCTTCCTCAAGTTGGCTTTCACTGTCACAGTGAGAATGTGAACATTAAACTAGCGGGTCTGCCACTACAGAATCTAAAAAGGGTCTTCATTTGGTAAAGAAATTAGGCCGGTTACATAAAGCATCTAATAAACATTTACTGATTGTGTGCATGCAAGCTAAGAGGTAAAATACAAAACAAAGGTCATTTCCACAAGATAAAATACAGGATGTGGTTTATCTATCTCAGCCCTTAGACATGTTGTCTTCCAAAGTATGAGGAAATCAAAGATCACAACCTTGTAAAATAACAGAAGAAGCCAGTAGCACATGGCCTTTCAGTGCTCATACAGGGATGGAGGTTCCTACCAAGACAACTGTATGTGGTTGGGATGTAGTTTAAAAAAAGAAGAGAAATTTGTGACAGATCAGCAGCAACATTTGAAATTTCACGTGGGAAGTCCTTAATGGTTTAGGTGGTGCAAATGTCCTCAATTAACTGGTACTAACAGTGGTGTAACCTGGTACCTTACTTAGTTGAAAACCTGCCACTGTATAGACCATGTTGTGGCTACTGTACTAAGAAAGAGTTCTTTTTAAATAAGCAACCAAATATTAACAATATTCAGTATAAACCTCTTGAAAAACAGCTTATAGCAAGGCTGAAGATCAGGAAGCATGGTGAGCTTTCCAAAGTTAGCAGTGACACGGTCGTGGCTGATAAGCTAAATGCAAGTGAAAAGGCAGTGGCATCATTCAGAGGTCCAGTTTTCAGTCAAAGAGCTTAATAGTTGAAATCTAATATCCCAGTGAGTGCCACTGAAAACTTACTAGTGTTTCAGATACCAATTACAGCGTGTTTTATGTCCTGAAAGTACCCCAAGAGAATTTGCATGGCATCCTGGCATTCCCGAGAATACCAGGATGTGTAAATACCAAGGGGGGAAGAGGCCGTCCAAATTCTGTTGTTGAGCAAATCGCGTGCATTTTACGTGGAGCTCTGTGAAAGCTTCGACCCCCCCCCTTTTTTTTTTTTCTTTTTGTTTTACTTTCTATTACGTAAGATATGCAAGTGCTGCCTAGTAGACTTTGGAAAAATACCTAAATATTTTCCTAGAAACTTTGAAGATTTGCCAAGAAAATGATTCATTAAGTAGTGTACTCTTGTGCCAATTGCCCTCTTTTGAGTTACTGTTTTCAGCGAAGGGGATTCGTTACGCTATCTGTTCATGCCTTGCTGTGCCATTCTCTTGACCAAAGTAGTAGTGGTTGTGGGGAGTTACCTTGTAACCAAATCTAGAGCAGAAAATTGCCCTGTCATGTGTACAAAACATTTGTCTCTGTCAGTATTCCCGTAAAGTAGATCCTGTGACCTCTTTCATAATAAACCTCATTGTCTAGCATCTACAATGGAGGCTTGAGGTTCACCTTGCAATGAACTATTTTTATAGAGTGTGGTCATACAGGACACTATGTGACAGTTTAAGACCTAGCCGTGGTCTTTCCACATTTTTTTTTTCTGAAAATTTGCCACCTTATCACTTCCAGAACACGCATCAAATGCCAAAAGAAGGGATTAGTGTGTTTTTTATTCAAACTGCCGCCAGGTAGGAAGGTACATGGGCAATGTTACCTCCTTCAATTTCTGTAAAATATGTATTTATTAAGCCCTGATACAGGAAATCTTTCAAGAATGCTTGCTGATTAATGTCAACTTCACTATACTTATAGCTTGATCTTTTAGATACCTTGTTTCTATATAATTTCAGCTGTATAAGATTTTAATACATTCATAAAGGGTAGTAGTTATTCTGAGTTGCTTTAGCTATGCTCTTTGGAAGCTAGCTGCTTTTTTTGCTAGTTGGTCATATGCTAACCCTATATTCTCTTTCCACAGAGAGGTGCCTGGAAGATCATGAGCTCATAGTCCAAGTCGAGTCCACAATGGGAAGTGAAAGTAAATTTTTGTTCAGGAAGAATTACGCAAAATATGAATTTTTCAAAAATCCCATGGTGAGTCCTATTATGTGGCTGCTAAAACCAGAAGGAGGGATGTATTGCAGGGGCAATGGGGTATGGATGTGAGTGGCAAGGAGGGGTAAGAGGACTGCGGAATGGGCCATTCCGGGTAAAGGAAGGCGCTGTACAGCACTTAACTCAGAATTACAGTACTAGGCACTGTTAGATATTAAACGTCTATTTATATGCATATGTGTGTGTGTGTGAGTCTATATGCATATAAAAATTACTTCTTTGCAAATTTTAACCAGTGTTAAAATTTCTTGTACTCTCCTCCCAGTCCCTCAAAATCCAGCTCTTTTCAGGTTACTAATTATACTTGTTTCAAAATGGCTATGTTAGGTTGGAGAGTGACCAAGAGAGTAAAATCCTTGTTGGTTAAAAATAGCAACAACAAAAGCAGAGGTGCAATGTGCTCATTATCTCCAAAGTTCCTTGGCTTGAAACAAATTGATCGTGTGCAACATCCAGACCTTGTAATTTCTGCCAGTAACAAAAAAAACTCGGATAACCCCTAAGACTGCAGGGAAGTAACTCCCTTTTTGTCATTATATATGTTGAACATAGGTGAATATATACATATATATGTATATATACATGTATATACATCTATGTTCAACATATATAATATATATACATATATATATATGTATATATTCACCTATGGCTGTGCTTTACCTGCTAGTGTGCTCTCTCTACTGCTCATAGCAACTCAGCCTTTCTATTTCCTCATGTCCCTCTGTGTTGGATAAGTAAGTGGCATAACTGTCCTCAGCTCTGTTTTTATAAGAGCCTTAAAATGTTGCAATTTTTAACTGCTTGCAGTGTAATTGCTTATTTGGTTATCATTTTTTTTTCCGTTTTATCTAAAGTTATGGGCTAGCAATGTGCTAGATGTGCCAGACTGTGTTAGCAAGTACAATCCATCTTGGTAGCTGAAGGGCAGAGATTCCAAGGAAGATTTGGGTTGGAAGAAATTCTGGGTCAGCTTGATGTTTGTAGAGAAGATACTTGTGGTCAAATGAAAACACGCTGCCCTCATTACTGCAGATGAGAACTTACTGCCTTGCCTCATGACCACCCTAGTGCCCAAGTGCTGCTCACTTACACACATATTTGCTCATACTTTTGTCACCTGCTAATGCTCGTTTAAGGACCTGTGCCTTGGATCACTACTGGAAACATTGCTGTGCCCGGCATGCTGGCTGCCTGACACTTCTGCTGAGCTCCTCAGATGACAACTTATGAACATCCGAGTGTTGTAACCTAAGAACATCTGAGTGGTATACAGAAACTGGTACACTGTCAGAACTGCCACATTGGTTTAGTATGATGGACTTTAATTAATAAGAGTGAATGGGAGTGAAACCCAGAATGTTCGGCAGTGAGTTCCAGGCTCTTGCAATCGGCGAAAAAATCACTCTCTTGGTTTGGGAATGCAAAGGCTTCCTACCCATTGCATCAGCTCCTGCCATATGGCACTGTTTCTTCTCAGGAGAAGCTGGTGAATGTTCGCTTGCGTAATTCATCGTGCAAGCTACCTGCCAGAAAGGTGGCTCCTCTTCAGCCCTTTTCTTCCTACCTTAAGGACTGGAATTTATATGGCTTGAAAAAGGATGGATGTTCTAAACTAGAATCATTTTAGTTGTGCTAGCATCAGTCATTGTTTCGTCTCGGGCATTTCTGCATGTCTTCAGCCTTCCAATAATGTTTAAAAACTTCCAGAGTGATGTACTGTAATTGCTGTATATAGTAAGTTCAGTGTCCTGAATTACACAAGTATTTTTAAACGTGGCAAATGAAAAGAAGAATTGGAGGAAAATATCTCAATTGCAATTCAGGACTCTGAACTGCAGGATTTTCAAGGCTCTGGAGAAGCACATTGTTTGCATGCTGCACCAGATTTGCTTCTGACTCTGCATCGTGAGGGAAAGGAAGGAGATGTCTGCTTTGAGACAGCTTCTATCTGGCACGTGAAGCAGGGAATGCTACACAGTGTTCAGGTCTAATTATGGCATATGGTACATATGTCCTCTCTGAAGTTTTATTATTTCATTTGTATAGAATATGTAGCTTTCTGATCATTATAAAAAGAAGACTGGGCTCTCTTATACGGATAGATTGATGACCTCGTGGTTTATGGCTTTTGGTGAGCAAAAGGAGGGAAAGAATTGCACTTGAAAGCCCTAGTATTACTTTCTGTGAAAGGGGATCTGTAATTTCACTAAAGAATAATAGCTTGTAAAAAATATGTCTGGAAGAATGTTCTGCTGATTCTAGATAAAGATGTGCAAATATAATAACAACTTCAAATTGTTTTCTCTTTTTGTGTCTAGAACTTCTTTCCAGAGCAAATGGTTGCCTGGTGCCAGCAAACGAATGGCAGTATTCCACAGTCACAACTTTTGCAGGTACCGTAAGTTATCTGTATGCATTAAAATGGTTTTGGAGATGGAGGGAAGGAGCTGAGAGGGAGAAAGACCTAGAAATAGGTGGTCAGCGAAAGTTCAGCATAGGCAGTCAGCATATGTTAATAACGTCAAAAAAACCTAACAAAGACCTGACCCAGTGGCACTGAGATGTAGATTACAAACACAGGCTATTAGTAGTTATTTTCATGTGTATTTTCTTTTAGCTATTTTATTACTATTCAGCTTCCCCGTGCAATCCTGCATCAGGACTGTGCAGTTTGACTGTGTTTCTGTAACAGCATCTTGTCCACTGAGAGCCGTGGGATTTCATACGTGGGATTTCAGTTTCCTTTCTTTCCTTTCCTTGTATTTTTTTAGTTGTAACTGCCAGTCGCCTCCCTGACTTACCACATTAGATCAGCCTGAAGTCCTAATTTGTTTTTCAAGCTCCTGATCTTGACCTATCAGGTTTTAACAAAATAACTGAGTTCCTATTAGCACTACTGGCTTAGTACATGTGAAGCTGATGTGAATGTTTGTAATAATAGGAACTCAGTTATTAGTTCCTAAAGCAGTATCAGATATATTTGTAGAAAAACAAATATACCTTGTAAAAAGTAAAGCAGGGGTATTCCTCTGCAGACTCCAAATCACAGCACAGGAGAAAGTGCAAAAATATGTTTGCACATCAGAAGAGGGGCTTGGGAGAAGGATTTGGTCTTCTGGCCTTTAGTGCTCCATGTTTATGTCTGGTGATGTTAACAGTAAGGACCAAATTCTTGAAGATTCGGCCCAAGAGCTGCCTTTTTACGTAGGAAAAATAATTATCTAGGAAATAAGGGCAAGTAGTTACAGACAATTGTTTGCAGCATTTGTCAAGTAATCTGTCTATTTAAAGCTCCGAAAGTTGTTACAGGTGTGTGTAGCTTCTGCGTGTGTGTTGGTACAGTTAGGTAATCTGTGGGGCAGTGGCATGTGCTCTGAATTTACACTGAAGCTTTGCTGTTATTGTACAGTTTCTTGCTGGCTCTTCAAGGAACTAGTGCTGGCACTAGTTGATTGACATAGTCATCCTCCTCTGAGGACATTGCCAAAGGGTCAGGCCTCTCAGCCACAACTCATTCACTTCCAATTCTAAATTGGAGCACTCCAGTCTAAACACTGTAGTCCACCACTTTTTTACCTTAGCCATTTTCTCAAATAGGAGACAGTAAACTCACAGGTATGTTGAAGCCAAATTAAACCACATTCTTTCTTAAATTGCACTGTATTAAAAGATAGTGATGCCTGGAAAACCATGCCCTGATTGACACATGCAGGTCATAAAGCAGGAGGCACAAACACAAAAAAGGAATACAAATACAGATAATGGATTTTCAGAATGATTTCTGTCACTTTGCATGTTTGCAAATATGCATTGACTGTCCTTTTAAATAGTAGCAAAAAAAATTTCACTGATTTTTGAAATAGTGCATTTGTTTTGTCCTGTAACTGCTCCAAAGTCTATTAAATACTGTCTCCAGGTTCACCAAAAGGATGTTAAAACATTAGAATTCCCTCTTAATCAGGAAATAAAATGAAAATCAAACCAATTTCTGAAATTAAAAACGAACGCCACAAGCAACAGGCTCAAGCACTCTTCAATCAACCTTGTACTCCTCTAATTAGGACCCTTCTTATCACGGCACATTAAGGACTTGGAGAGCAGGAGTGTCTCCCTCCAGCTGCCGCACGAGTATTTTGTGGCCTGTTGAAGCAGCCCAGATTGTGTGCAGGGAAGCAGGGAATGGGGAGAAAGCTCCTCGAATGGGCAAGCAGTCAAACCACTGCCACTGCCTGACCCCAAGTCTTGAGGAAGCAGAACTGGGGTGAACAGATGTTTGCCATGACTTCTGCATCGAGGTGCTTGCACCTGGGCATGCTTCCTCGTGCAGTGCTTTGGAGGAGTCACATTTGCTTGTGCTTCTACAAAGAGGATGTGCTAAAAGAGGAAGATGCTCTTGAAGGTGGAAAAGCTTGGAACCTAGTTTAACTTAAATGGTAGAGAAAGGAAAACCTCATGGGATTGTGATATCCAGTGGTTCGTTTCTGGGAAGCTTTAGTTTGGTGCAGCCAGGGAAAAAATAAACCTTGCACATTAACAGTGAGTTTGTTTGAGGAAAGAAGATAAATACATTCTCACTGGTTTGCTATTCAACCATCACATCAATCTTACTTAAAGCATTTATATTAAATTCACTTTTCTTTAAGAAAGATAAACCTATTTGTCATAATTTCAATGACAGTAGTAATTTATTAAAGGTGAACTTCCTGCAATCTAATAGTCATTAAGCATGTTGCATCTGAGGCCTTCTCAAACACCAAGCTAAATGTGCTGTTTTTTAATTATATAAAAACAGGGAAGAACATTAAACATCATGTCACAACATCATGTGCTGCATTAGGAGCTAGATTTTGTATTTTTAGTATTAGCAACAGCATTAATAATTATGGGTACTGTTCTCCCTCGTATCTGTCTTGCAAAAAGCTTGCATCGTAGTTTATTTTGATTTAGGTATATCTAGCTCCGCAGAAAAAATATTTTCTCCTCGTGGTCTGTTCCCTTCAAAGTTGAGAAATAGCCCAAATAGCAGGAAAATTGACTACTCTTATCCAGTCTGTTACCTAAGAAATAGCAGTGGAAGAAAAAGGAAAACAAAAAGGTTTCAATACAACTAAAAATTCTGACAGAGGGCATTGATTTGGGGTTTTGTTTCCTGTGAGCACTGTCCACCAAATGATGCCCAAATATGACTGTCGAGTTTTTCAGAGGCACATAGGCCAGCCAGGTTTATGCAGTTTTCTCCCTGTTATTGAATCTGTGAAGAGTTCACTATTTAACCTACCAAGCCAGCCTTCTGTCACTTAAGTATCTGACCTGGTGTAACAAGGGAGCAAACCATCAGCTTGCTAACCATAGTTAAGACTTCCTTCCTTTGACCTACTGCAAATCAAAGGATTCCATATGTGATCCCTGTAATTATGTCAAGAACTTATTTAAATATTTCTGGATCTTGAAATTTAACACCATTGTGGACATCTGACTGCTCTAAGTTTTAGTGTGTGTTAAATATTGGGTTGCCTGTGTGTGTGTGTATGAGTTTGGTACGGGAAACCTTGGAGTAGCTACATCCTAAAACTTGTAGATGAGGATGGATTTTGGCCAACAAGTCCAAGTTAGACGAGAATTGTGATAAGCTAGTAACTTATTTTTAAGAATTAATAAACTTGCTTTGTGACAGTTCAGACCAAGGCCAAGGGGGTTGAGGATGCAGAAAAATGGTTAGGCTTTTGGAGATTTAAGTGTTCCCACAGAGACCACACGAAGATGTCAGGGCTTGTACCTGAGCTGACTGTTGCTACAGCACTGCACAGGACCTAGTGAATGCAGTCATCCTACCTGGGAAACGCTACCTAAGGCTGCTGTTTTACCTCCCTATTCAAACCAGACCCCTGCAGCTGCCAGAGAGGGGCAGGGACCCTTTGCCCCTGGCTGTGCAGGCTGATTTGCTCCCCTCAGCGCTGGGTAGAGACTGGGCAGAGCTGCAGACGTCGCTTAACTAGTCAGGAAGGGAACGGTTTTACCAGGGCCAGGGAGGGTCTGCGAGTGAATCAGTGGTTCCTCCGCCTGTGCGTGGCTCGGCTTGCGAGCGGAGCCGCGAGGGCCGGAGCGGGAGACGTGGCGGGAGCTGCGGGTCTGTCCGCTCGGGTCCCGCGCCAGCTCACGCGCCGCGTCCGCGACGCCCCGCGGCACCGAAGGGAGCCCCCGTTTGCCTCCCCTTGCTGCAAGCGCGCTGCCAGTTCTGTGATATATGTAGGGGACACAATCGTTACTTACATTTTCCTCTCCAACAGAACTTTTTAAACTCCAGTAGCTGCCCTGAAATTCAAGGTTTCTTGCATGTGAAAGAGCTGGGTAGGAAATCATGGAAGAAATTGTATGTGTGTCTGAGGAGATCAGGACTTTATTGTTCTACAAAAGGAACTTCAAAGGTAAGTTTAAAAGAAAAAAAAAAAAGAAAAGAAATTGCATACTGCTCGCATGTGAAGGGATTTTCTGCTTTTACCATGGATGTTCATTGCTGTGTCTAAATATCTCCGTAAAGCCCCTGCCTGTTTTCTAATTTTTCAAAGTAGGAAAGGATAAGCAAGCCAAATGACAGTCGAGTCCTTGGTTCTCACTGCATGAAAATGGCTACCTAGCATTGCTATATAATAAAACCAAAGTAGCCAGGCATTAATCTGTGGTCACGTTAACAAGGTCAGCAGGAGAAAACTTGCAGTCTCCAAATGTTCTCTCTCTGTTCCTTAATTTATTTAAAGTGGTATCTTGACAATAATTTACATTACCTCATTTTCAGATTTCTCAAGGAGCACTGTAATACGCTGTAGCATTTTGTTATCTGCATAAGTATTTTGTCAACTTGTATAAAGCACTTTCTGATAGCAGGCTGATATTTAAAAAGTGACACGCACTGACAACTTGAAGCTGTTTGAGAGAAAAGCAGCGCGTTCACACACTGCCCTCTGTTGGATGCTGTGCTCAGAGGAATGCAAAGCTCGTGGCAGCAAATCTTCCCGTGGCTTCTTCTTATGTGTTGCAAACCACGTTGTTTCCACAGGAGCCAAGACATTTGCAATTGTTAGCTGACCTAGAAGACAGCAATATCTTCTCGTTGCTAGCTGGCAAGAAGCTGTACAATGCACCTGCAGACTACGGTTTTTGTATAAAGGTAATTCCTACTAGGCTCTTCCAAAGTCATTATCAGTGTTCATAGCTCTTTCTCAACTCCATATTAAACTTAGCTGGGGTCTAGAACTCCTCAAGCATTTCTCTTGACTTCAGGAAGAGCTGATCTTTAGAGCTTTTCCTTTGGGAGTTTTGCTCTGTGACTCTTGCCGTGGTGACACTTTTAACACTTTGTCTGGTGCTTCTTTAGGATGAAGTAGGGAAATTTTTTCTAGCAATACGCATACCAACACAGCCCCCCTTACAGACTCTCCTTTTCTAGAGCATATACTTGTACAGCTTGTTCTTGCAGAGGAAGCAGAGTAAGGCTTAGCAGCATAACTGTCTTTTTCTTGATCAGATGCACCCATAAGAAGACCCATAAGACAGGTGCTGTCCCTTTTCAGTTCTGTTTTCTGTTCTGACAGGAAGTCTGTTCGCCTCCGTATCACAAGTCCAGTATGGGTATCTGAAAAAAACAAAGCTGGGAGCCGCTTTTATTGACAGAAGTGGAGTAGTCTCCTTCCTAGCAGCCATTCCAGAGCTAGATGTTTGGCTTTGCCTCAGAGAGTGGCGAATGGCTGCAGGACACGTTTGGGAATGATCAGGGCAGGCATTTGGGAAGATACCGAGTGGGAAGAGCACGCGGGCCCTCTCTGTAATACGGCATCGGGTGGCAGTAAAGGCAGCCCCACGCGTCCCTTCAGGGCTGGGCCTGCCCTTCTGCACAACCACAGGCTGCTTCTCCATGGGCCGTGTCAGCAATGAGAAAAGAATCCTTGATTCTGGGCATAGAAGAGCCTCAGCCCTTGTTCCCATAGGCTGCTGGAACTGCAGGGTTTTCCAAGATTCAGGTGCTTCAGAGCACTGAAGTTTGTGTACTGGGGCTAGCTGTGTTCTCTCTCTCAAAATATATTTAACTTGTAAACTTTCAGTGTTGACTGTTTTCTACTGAATGAAGCTGAATTCCCTCTAATCCTTTATAGCCCAACAGAGTGAGAAATGAAACTAAGGAATTGAGGTTGTTGTGTGCTGAAGATGAGCAAAGCAGGACGTGCTGGATGACTGCCTTTCGACTTCTCAAGGTACCTAATCTTTCCTATCTGAATAGAGCAACATCTGTGGTTAAACAGCATTGGTTTTCCTGCTCATGAACAAGTATGAGATCATGTTCTTAACCATTGTCTACTTCTAAATCAACAGCAAAGTTCCAGGTAGACCTGTCCCTCCTATGTGTTTATGTACAACACTGAGCTGAGCTTCTTGCACATGTGATCAAATACAATTTTAGTTTTGGGATCAAACTTATGTGAATGAATCAAGAAACTGCAGAAGAAAATATCTGCAAATATCTATCTTGTATCTATCATAAAACTAAAGAAAAGGTTTTCTTGCTTAGTGGTTATCTGAAATAGAACAGAGTGCTATCTAGAGTCATTGCAGCTTTTTCAATCTCTGGAAGGTTCTATAAAATATAAATAGCAAAAGTAAGCAAGTCTATCTCTGGGTGAAGGTTATTCTTATCTGAGAGCAAAGAGTGAAGTTCCTTGATAATAGGGAACAAGGCTTCGCAGTGTTTTGAAGCAAAATCAGCATAGAAAGAACTGAGGAGGAAGCTGGATGTTTGGTGCTCTTTGAAGCTGAGTCCTTCCTGATCTTCACAGGGAAATGTACAGAAGTTTCTTTCATTCTTTTCCCGAAGATACTGCTTTGAAAATTACTAAATTCTTCTCCGTACCTTCCTAAGTCCTCCTTAATATTAAAAGGAATATATGTATGACTGTAATGTGTACATATATATAAAATATACACACTATATATCATAGATATAGTATATATGATATATATACTATCTGCTAAAGTCCCACGTCTGTTTCGTGCTGGAATCTATCCTCTGTGCCAGAGTCTCACATACTGCATGTAAGGAGAGCTGGAGGCACCCGCACACAGCTCTGCCGCGCTCAGCCTCCCGTGCCTGCCCCGCAACAGCGACACGAGGGCCCCGAGCTCCGGCACCTTCCGCCCTCGGCAGATGGTTGGAGCCACCTTGAGAGGAAGGGCCGGCCACAAAAGCCCCGTGCTCCCTGTGCCAGGGAACGAGAGAGGCAGGGCCAGACCTGTGAGCTGGGAAGGCGGGTGCAGTGACACAAGGCTGCTTGATCCTCAAGGCATGGTAAATTTTCACTATGAGTACTTGTTGCTCTCCTTAGATGGACTTTCCATCAGGCAAATCCCTGTAACTGGGGGGGAAAGCAAATTGCGGTTGTAGGCCTGCAGGTAGGATATGCAGCTCCTACCTGTCCTCTGCTCACGTTAAGCATTCATTATCTTAAGGAAAGTATATGTAAAAAGTACAGTACAGAAGTTCCTTCCCTATTTTAAGTTGCCCCGAAAGAAAGTGTACTAGCCATAGGTAGCTCATGGTACCAGGTCCAGGAAAACAGCCCAGGTACAAGATTCGTTTTTTATTTCTGTGCAGTTAATGCTTCTGTTGATTGTCATTGTCTTCAATTACTTCACTTGGCTGAAATTTAATTTATGGTAACACCTGGGGTAGGAGTTTTACTCACCAATCAATTCCAAATGCTTCCTCACAACTGTCCTTTACTTTTCCTGCTTACATGAAACTTTGCACTGTGAGAGAACTGCAAACAGGATCAGATATTTGCAGTAAATCGTGTCTTAAAGCTATCACGTCTCCTGAAGGAGTGAAAGCGAGAATACAGTCACATAGGTGAAGATGCCCATGTTCATGGAGAACCTTACCAGCGTGTCGAATTAACTGTGCTCATCACCTGTGGAGACAGGCCTCTTGCTGGGGCTTTGCTGTGCTGTCAGTAGCAGAAACAGTAGTAGTTGGCAGTAGATTTCCTTATGCTGTCATCTACCTTTCACCCTTGGAAAGTGAATATTGGGGAAAAAATGGAAAATGGATGGAATGTTTGGAAAAAGTGTTTGGTTTTTAAGGACCCGTGAGAGGATTAGAGATGTTCAGTCACAGAATGACAAAATTAGGGCTGCCCCACAAGGCTCTTGTGACCCTCCTTTGATTTAACTAGCAATTTAGCTTTGCATAGTCAAACAATATTTCCTCATTTACAACATTATGTATACCATTTTAATTAGGGCATTCAGTAAGTAACGTTGATATGCCTTGGCACAGTGTCTCTCGGGAAGGCACCAAGAAGGGATTTTTCCTACCGTCCTTGCTACCAGAGCTTCTAAAATTTATCATGCTCAACGAGGGACATGACTGGAATTCAATCAGTTTGTTTTTATAAGGATGAGAAATGAACAGAAGTGGTTTCCTGAAGAAATTTATTAAAAGTGCTAATAACATTAACATTTAAATTCGAAAGTGAATTAGAAAGACTCATATTTTATTATCATTACAAAAACTGAGCTCATCTTTTTATTACCTTGTACAAAACTGCATAGGCAGATTTTTTTTTAATTCCAATTATTAGAGGATAAAATGGAGAAAATAAATGTGTGATCTGTCCTCAAGTGAAAGTCTGTACTCTATAGGCCAAGCATATTGATATTTGAGAGTGTTTTGCCCTGGCTTGTAAAGGTGTTATCTTCTAAATAAACTTAGGCACATTTACAGCTCGGTTGGCACCTGCCAGTCACTAGTCCTTGCTGCAGGTTGCTTTGGGGCAGCTTCTGATCATGACAATACTAAGCTGGCAGCACCTTGCTCCAGAGTAAGTAGTGTTATGAAATCACTACAAATACTTTTCCTGGGCTGTATCACAGAATCACAGAATGTTCAAGATTAGAAGGGACCTCTAGAGATCATCTAGTCCAACCCCCCGCTCAATCAGGAACACCCAGAGCACGGGGCACAGGGCAGCATCCAGGTGGGTTTGAAAGACCACCAGAGAAGGAGACTCCACAACCTCCGTGGGCAGCCTGTGCCAGGGCTCTGTCACTCTCACAGGGAAGAAGTTCCTCCTCACCTGGAGATGGAACTGCCTGTGTTTCAGTTTGTATTCCTGTCCTATCACCTTTGAGTAATAATTTCTGTTTCTCTTGGCAGTATGGAATGCTACTGTATCAGAATTACAGAATTCCCCAGCAGAGAAAAGCCATGCTTCCACACTTTTCCACTCCAGTAGTAAGTAATGAACTTTACTTCCGTAATGTCTATTGTTGGAAGAGATATATTTGCTTTTGCATTTTAAAAGTGGTGAATTTTACACTAATAAATGCAAATTTAGAATTGTGTAGCAAATCATTGTAAATGAATTGCATTACAAATGTGTATAAATCACATAGTTGGCTCTCCATTATCTTAGGCTGATAGTACCCACACGGTTTGGAAATCTTGGCTATCTCAGCTATTCTGAGATGTGGAGTCACAGAGATATCCGATTGTCCCTGCAGAAGCCAGTTTAACCCTGGCAAAACTAACATTTATAATCTCTTATAATAAGTTGGTTCAAAGATGACCCTTAGTCATATAAAAGTGAAGGCCCTATAATTGGATCCAAACTGATCTGAAAATCCCTGGAGTACAGTAATAGGGAAAGTGGGCAAATTATGTGACACAGATTTTATTCTGACTTTGGATTCTCTCTCTGTTCCCCATAGACTCAAAGGAAATAAACATGTTTTTTTTTGTTTTGGTTTGGTTTTTGTCTGTGAAGCTTTTCAAAAAGATACTGTGTTCTCTATGATGGTAGAGGATAGCTTTGGAAAATCTTCTGAAACCAGATATTTTAAAATGAAACTCTCTCAAGTTGGTTTTTTCTTTCCCTGTTTTTTGAAACAAGTGAAAATTCCTTTTCAGAGAAGTGTATCTGAAAACTCACTAGTAGCAATGGATTTTTCGGGGCAAATAGGAAGAGTTATTGAAAATCCCGCTGAAGCACAGAGTGCTGCCTTGGAAGAAGGACATGCTTGGAGGGTAGCTATCTTCTCTTCTTTTCTGTTTTTGTGATTAGTAAGTGTCTGTTGAGAGCCAAAACACAGAGCGTGCTATGATACTAGTGCGGTGCTGGTCACAGTATAGCTTAGCTCCGRCCTGAAGCAATCACACTGCAAGCATGCAGATCTGAAAGTCAATATCCATCTTTAGCAAAACTGTCACATTCACAACAACCTTCTACCACTGCTTCTCTGTCCCCCTAGTGTCCAGAGGAAAGTTGAGGGGGAAAGCAGACCCACCAGAACTTTACTGCCAGTTTGCAAAACCAGTCTCTGAGGAGGAATATGTCAAATTAAATGCTTCCCCACATGGAAGAGGCTGGGGCTCTGACTAATGGCTTGCTCCCAGTAAGTTTAATTGCAGAATCTACAAGAGGCAGGACCTCTTGCAAT